AGTAAGAAGGCTACAACCAAGGAAAAGGACCAAAGCCTCCTGCTACTCATGGTCATTAACATCTGTCCAACGGTTTCTCGGCTTTCCCAGGTAAGAATGGAGGTGACCCTTTGGTCACTCAAGCTTTTGCTTGAACAAATGTGGATGACGCCTATTTTGACCCACCACTTTCTGTTTATTCCTCCCCTTCTGCTTTGCCCCATCAACCTGCCACCTTCCCAGGAAACCACCCTGAATGATGATCAAAATGCCACAGCCCATGAGATCTCCCTGCCCTGAAATCTGCCCCACTCCACTGAAGACCAGTCTCTCCTCTCCCTCCGCCCAACACACACTCTGATGGAAACACCGTGGCCCATCAGTACAGAAGACGGTCTCTGCTCAGAAGAAACTGAAGACAAAAATAAGCCAAATATAACCAGAGGGAGGGGATTTCCTTTGAAATTGTTCAAGAAAAAACATATTTAACCCACACATATTACTCTGCACATGCCACAAGCTGAAAATCCCGGATTTTCCACATGGACATTATTAGAGTTATATGAGACAGGAATAAGGTCTTATGCTTCTACCCTACCCTGTGGAGCTAAACATAAAGATAACTATGTGGTTCACACTCAATAAAAAGTAAACTTCATCTAAACAGAATTTAAAATTTCAGGTGTTTCATTTTATTATTTTACCATTAAAGTTTCCCCTTAACACTAGACAAAAACCACTCAGCACAGGTAAAATTTCCTGCAGGTGTACTCTATACTGACTGCTGCTTCAAATTACCATGTCTTTACCCTAATGTTAGTGTTGCTTTTCCACTAGTATAGCTTCTTTTAATGCACCAGCTATTTCACTGAAAACAGAATCTTACTAAGTATCTGCACTTAATAGGATTTTCCTAAAATTGTATGTTCTGAGGAAAACATGCATTAAACGAAGTTGATGAAATTTATATGAACTAGAAAATGCATACACATCCGCAATGAATACCAATACACACCCAACAGAATGCTAGAATTCAAAGGGAAGACACAACTGTTAGGTAAGATGTGCAGCGACCAACACACTCGCCAAGGGCTGGTGGGATTCTAAAACTGTTCGACCACTTTGGAGAATGGTTCTGGAGCTTCTTATACAGCTAAATGCTTCCTCTTCTCTCCCCACCATGGCAGCCAAGCAATTCTATCCCTGCATGTTAACTCAAGAGAAATAAAAGGTTATGCTGGCAAAGTGCTCCTGAAATTATACAGCGATTTATCCATAAATAGCCAGAAAGTGAAACTGTTCCAACTGCCCAACAAGTGACTGAAAAATAAAATTTGATATATTCACACAACAGAATGCCACTCATAAAGAAAAAAGGAACAAAGTACTTAAAATGGAAGCACCTCAAATTACGTTGAGCAAAAGCTGGATTCATGCACACACACATGTGCACGCGCACACACAAATACACACTATATAAGCCCAAGCACAAGTTCTAGAACAGGCAAAACCAATCCATCATTAAAAACTGCTATGGCAGGGGAACATTAATGTCAGAAGGGGGTCTGAGAGAATTTTCTAAGACGAACTATCTATAGCCCAAGACCAGTGGGGCTAAGTTCAAATTTTAGGTGTTTCATTTTATTATTTTCCCTTAAAAGTTTCCCCTCAATACTAGACAAAAACCACTCAGCACAGGTAACATTTGTAGAATTTTGTAGAAATTATGTGGAATTTCACTCTACATAAGTGCTGTATTAAAGAATAGTTACACGTAAACAGTAAAATACAGGGATCTGGCTTGCTTACCTTGATGGTATGTGGTCACCATTTTGATGCTATTTATTGTGTATTCTAGGCTCAAACAAATGAACGAACACATTGGAAGTCATGTTTTGCATTGTTATAGAACAATGGAACACATAGAACAAATATGAAAATAAAACGACCAGCATGTACCTGAAATGTTGGACTGCAAATGTGGTATTGGCAAGGACACACGTTTTATTAAGGCACATGTTACTAGTAGGCAGAGAAAAATAAATACATGTGTACATATGAGGGGGCTTCAAAAGTTTCATGGACTACATTTTGTATATTTTTCCCCGTACAATTTTTACTCTACAAATAAAAGGAAAACAGAGAGAGAGAGAGAAAAGTCAGGTTTCTTACAACCACTCCCCTTTCTTTGCCCATCAGATCTAAACACCGGCCTGCGTGGTTACCAAGGAAGACAGCAACACTGAAACTGATGTCAGCGCTTTATGGCACGAGTTAGTGACAAGCAGTTTTCTAAAATGTTTTGAGGTTTCGTGTTTAAAAACAAACACAAAATTTGCAATCAAGTCTGCAATATAAAAATATATTCTTTGACTTATTTACGTTGAAATAAATGAATCTTTAAAAATAAAAGATTTTCTTTTAATTAATGTTAGCTTAATGATGACATAATTAATGTTCTGTCAATGGAGGTCACCCTCGCCGCTGTGCTATATGCTTTTCTGGTTTTCGGGCTATGAAACCCATAGGGTCAGCAAGTAGAATAAGGGGTTTGGGGACAGTGGTGGTGAAGGTGGGGTAAAACAGAGCCAATGTTAAGGAGTCCATGTAGAAAAAGAATGTTTGGTAACGGATTGGCAATTCTACTTGATATGATCGAAATATGGAATGACATGTTATATGCATTAAATCCCAACTGATTAAGAAAAAGTTAGTGGAAAACTTCCATTGTCTTTTCCACGAACTTTCTGAAGCCCCACATACACACACCATGGTTAACATAAACTTGGCACACATGGCACACATCTACTTTGCCTGCTTCTGCCTTCTGAGAGTCTCTAAAGCAGTCAATGACACACGGACAGCAGTGAGCACAGAGTGTCCCTGTCTTGGTGCCTAAATACCTTTGTCATCTAAAAGAAACCAAGACTCTTTTTTTTTTTATGCTCTGATTGCCTTGCAAGATTGGGACAGAAAAAGAGCATGTGATAGCACTGGAAATGAAACAAGTCATCAAGCAATGATGCGGAGACAGATTAAATAAATACAGGATCCAATTGGAAGGGACTTTCACTCGCTGAGGACAGTACAATTTGAGCATCACAGATATGACAGCAATGAATTGTAACCCAATGAATAGAATAAAAACATCCAATAGTCTATAGTGTTATGAATAAATGAAATAATGAATGAATGTGGATGAGGATCGTTAGTGTCCAAATGTTTTCCCACAACTAATTATTGTTTATAAGGCGGGGAAATCGCTATTAGCTAACACAGCATTTTTTTACTTATACGGGAAGATATTAATTACAAGGGAAAAACAGATACTAGTATTCTATGAAAGTGAAATGTGAAATGCCCTAGCTTTGATTGCTGTGATCATGTAGGATAATGTACCGTACATTCTCGAGTAAAACCTGACCCATATATCAGCCGAGGCACCTAATTTTACCACTAAAACTGCATTAAAAATGTGCAGAAACACTCAGCTGGTACACGAGTATATATGGTACTTATTCTTGGAAATACATACATTCAGAGGGAGCAGTGTCTCAATCTTCTCTTAAACAATTAAGGAACACGGGAGAGAGCAGGAATGATAAAGCAATTGGAGGGAATATAAAGATCTGGTCAGCAGACCTGCAGCATATGGTAAATGGCATCTGGGAGTTTCTTGCAATATCCTTGCAGTTTATCTGTATGTTTGGAATTATATGAAAATAAAAAGATATCCAAAACCCTAAAACCTCTCTCCCCAGAGAGAGAAAAGAAGAGCTACAGTGTTTAACATAAACCCACGACCATCATGTCAATCGGCTCATAGCAACCCTTGGCATCACCAATTCCCACACTTGTTCCAAGAAATGATCTAGGTTTTTCAAAGAAAAATTTTTAAAATGTCTACAGCCTAATAAACATGCCCAGTGCAAGCCCTTCTTGAGGAACCTCAGTACACTTTAATAAGAAAGTCTAGTTAACTGGATTTAATCCAACATTACCACAATAACCTGTTAGGGAACCTTGCTAAAAAGGAACACCCACTAAAACCTTACAAAAATATCAATATTCTGGGTAAGACAGTTGGAGAACTGCTTGTACTAGGAAGATGGCAGAGAGAGATAATTCACACACACACACACACACACACACACACACACACACACAGAGGACCCACTATTCAGCAGAACTCAAAAACCTTTACTCAGAGAGTAAGAGAAAAAATAATAAAAATCTTAGAAAGAAATAGGTCTCCTAAAATGCCCCACCCCAGGTCCAATATTTTCTAACAGGCTCTATTTTTTTAAAATATGGAAATTTGATACACTGTATTTACATTTTGATGCAGTCATTATTAGAAGGAGCATGGTATATGTCATAGGTCATTGTTAATTGGATTCATTCCCATGAACTGTGTAGCCAAATGGCTCCCCTGCCTTAGTGAGCAGATACTATTGACCATGCACTGTTCTGGGTTCAGATAATCAAATGTTTGGGGCAGGGGGTGAAACAGCTCCCGTCCCCCATGAGCGTACGGTTTAATGGGGGAGATGGCAGAGTGAACGCATGCAGTGAGAAGTGGAGTCTCCAAGGGTATCTTGGTCAGAACACAAAACAGGGTATCTAACTCAGACAGCGAGATGCAGGAAAGTTTCCTTCGAGAGCTGGTACTTTGGCTAAAATAAATTAATACCTGGTAAATTCCTTTGTCTTAATAACAGTTCAATGGTTTTATTTATTGATGCATTATTAGTCATCCAGCATTAGGTTCTGCATCACTGTTTTAAAAAGCAAAAATATAGCCATCAGAGACTAAAACTAGTTGCAATTCAAAATCTACGAATGATGACAAGCAGTTGGCCACAAGCCACCGGCTTAGTTTAAAAAAAACAAAACACCTCTAGGCTCACCTAGGCTCAGTGTGGGAGTGAAACAATTGGGAGAAAAACACATATGGGAACAAATGGAAAAAGCAGAAATAGAATCGTGTGAGAAGACAAGAAGTGATAAGTATTGTTTACCTGTCAGTTGACATTGATTAATCTTGTGTTCTGTGATATCGCTCAGTGATTCAAACACCTGCAGGCAGCTGTCACAGCTGTGCACAGCTTCGTCTTCCAACTCCTCCCCGTCTTCCGGCCTCTTCTTACAATCTATTGCCTCTCCATCTTCAGTCTTGTCTTCAAGTTTACAGTTGGGGTCTGAAAGAAGATCAAGACTCTAAGTATGGGGTTTAAAGACAGGTTCTTTTAAAGTAACGTTTAATCTTCTTGCTACCAAAAACAGAAACACCATTTCCCTCGAAGCCACAACAGAACTTGGTTGTGGATTTTATTACAGGAGAATCGGGACTTATCCCTAAATCGTTTGCAGTTTGTGGTCATTGAATGAGTTTTTTCTTTATTTTTTTTTCACCCCCCTCAACTCTAGCCCATTCCTGCCCACCACCTCCTATCCTACCCTTAGGGTTATAACTTTAGTCAATTTTTCTCATCATTTTCCTTTTTGATTCAAAAAGGAAAGATAAATCACTTTTAAAATTAAGTAGTCTCCAATGTAAAGGGAAGGAAAAAAGCACTACTCAAGAATGAATTTAAATTTAAAAAAAAGAATGAATTCTTTTTCTGCTAAATATACTCTTTCACGGGAAATTACCAGAATTAGCCAAAAGTCTAGAATAAACTAAGCTAATTACCATAGGCATGAAATTGACCTTTACTTCCAAACTGGTCAAAACACACAGGACCCTATTATTAGTCAGGCGGCGGTAGTAAAGTAGGTTGTGCCACACAGCAAAACATTGTGACAAATACAAACTCTAGAGTAAATATGTTGGTATAGCTTGTTTCCAAGATGCTCAAGAAAACACAAAGAATATGCAGAGCAATTAACCGCAACTTGAGTTGGCTCACGGTAAAGTTCAGTATTGTGCAAACTACAGATCCTTGCACGGAAACCCTAGGAATGAGGCACAGAAAGAAAAGGGGGGAGGGGGGTGGGGGGTGGGGAGGGGATAACATCGTCACTGGGTGGATTCCACCCTGATGGCACAATACAAGAGGATAATGGAGTAAATGAGCCCACAAAACGGTTTCACACGAAGCGCAATCAGTGCTTGTTGATTGTGCTCCCCTTTATTCCGTTTAAGGAGTCCTGGTGGTGCACCGGGTTTAGTACTGACTGGGCTGCTAGTCAAAAAGGTCAACGGCTGCACCCCACCAGCTGCTCCACAAGAGAAAGAGGAGGCCGTCTGCTCCTATGCAGACCACCCCCAATCTCAAGACACCCCCAGCTCGACTCTGTCCTCAAGGGTCGCTAGGAATCAGGAAAGATTCCGTAAATTCTACTCAGAGAAATGTGCTCAAACCTTCCCACGCTCTAACCGCACTTTGCGGGAGAGCCAGGAGGAGGCGGAGGGAGAAGGAGGAGGGGAGAAGGGGCCGAGGGAGCAAGGTGCTTTCCCAGTGTGTGGGAGGGGGCCTGCACACGGACACTCGGGGAAACTAGGAACCGAATTGACCTAGCGGTCATTCACTTGGGGAAAGGGCATAGCGAGGAGAGGGCCCTCCGTGGTTTCATCTTTTTACCATATTATTCAATCTGTATGTCGTGCAAATAACTAGAGGAGACGGGGCTGTATCAAGAAGAATACAGCATCAGGGCTGGAGGAAGGTTCAATAACAATGGGCAACAAAGCTGACACAACCTTGCTTGCTGAAAATGGAAGAGCATCGAAGCAAGGGCAGAAGAAAACAGAGACTGCAACCTTCTGTACGGATTACAAGTCTACAAGGAAAAAACACACCCCTCACACCTGGACCAGTAAGCAGTAGTGTCATGATGAACAGAGAAAAGACTGAAGGTGTCGAAGACTCTGTTACTGGGCTCCATAATCAATGCCCCTGGAGACGCAATCAAAGAGATCAAATAGTGTACTGCATTGAGAAATTCTGCGGCCAAAGAACTCTTTAAAGCAGCGGTTCTCAATCTGTGGGTGGCGACCCCTTTGGGAGTCAAACGACCCTATCACAGGGGTCGCCAAAGATCAAGGGAAAACACAGATTCCTGATGGTCTTGGGAACCAAGACACAGCTCCTCTCTCCATCTCCAGACGGGTCCGCCCACATGCAGATACGCCCACACTACCAGTACCCGGTGTGAAGACTGTTAGCCTGGCTACACCATGCTTCAAGACAAAATGTCACTTGTCATTAGAAATAAATGTTTCACAATATAGAATTACACAGTGTTTTGTGATTAATCACGATGCATTAATTATGCTCAGTTTGCATCAAAGAAAATATATCCTGCAAATCAGATATTTACATGATGATTCTTAACAGTAGCAAAATTAGTTATGATGCAGCAACAAAAATAAAGTTATGTTTGGGGGTCCCCACAACAGAGGAACTGTATTATTAAAGGGTCACGTCATTAGGAAGGTTGAGAACCACTGCTTTAGAGGAAAGGTCCTCACCCTGCGGCTCTCACACCACACAGGGCACTTTCGGTATCTACATGTGGCTTTGAGGTAAAACTGAAACATTTTAAAGGCCATTATTCAGATGATTTCATTTGCCGGTAAAAATATATGTATGACTCTTGAATAAATTTTAGTTGTTATGAGGGACAAGATTGGCTCTTCCATCTCAAAACTTAGCCAAGCCTTGCTTTAGTGTTCAAAAGTAGGTATCACTTTAAAGACAGGATTAAGATGGACAGGACTTAAGTCATAGTATTTACAGTCACCCCATACATATGCAAAAGCTTGACAATGAATACTGAGGACCAAAAAAGAAATGGCCATTTGAGTGATGATACTGTGAAGAATACTGAATATACATGGGTGACCAGAAGAATGAACGAATCTGTCTCGGAAGAAGTACAATCACAACGTCCCTTAGAAACAAGAATGACAAAGCTTTGTACTTTGGCTATGTTATCAGGAGATCACAGTCCCTGGAGAAGGACATCATGCTGAGTAAAGTATTTGATCAATGAAGAAGCAGAAGTGGCCATCTAGCTCAGAAGCAACAAAGCCCACATGGAACAGCATATCAGCCTGTGTGATCACAAGGTGTCGAAGCGATCACTGAAGGCAAATGGGTGCATAAGCAAATGTGGTGAAGAAAGCTGACGGTGCCCGGCTATCAAAAAGTATAGCATCTGGGGTCTTAAAGGCTTGAAGG